ACCCACTGCTATAATCACACTCTCGACCTTGTTCTGATTTATGGTATTGAAATTGAGCAACTATTAGTCGAACCGCATAATCCTGCTTTATCCGACCATTTCTTAGTAACTTTTGAAGTACTGTTACTAGACTACAAAGCATTAGTCAAAAGCTCCTGCAGCAGAAACCTATCTGTTAGTGCTATAGCCAAATTTAAGGAAGAGATTCCACCAATACTTAACTCGATAGCATGTCTGCATGTAAGGGAGGAAACTTATACAAAATGTACACCACCCCAAATTGATCATGTTGTTGATAGTGCTACAGATGCGCTGCGAATAAAATTAGACTCTGTTGCTCCTTTGAAAAAGAAGAAAATAAAACAACATAGACTAGCTCCATGGCATAATGCCGAAACCCGCAAAATAAAGCAAAAGTCGAGACAACTTGAAAGGATATGGCGTTCTACTAAACTTGAAGAATCTCGTTTAATTTGGCATATTACTCTCAATGAATATAAGAAAGCATTGCGTAAAGCGAGAGCAGCCTACTACTCTTCATTAATAGATGAGAATAAGAATAATGCAAGATTTCTTTTCAGCACTGTAGCCAGGCTGACAGAAAGCCACAGCTCGATTGAGCCTTCTATTCCCATAGCACTCAGTAGTAATGATTTTATGTGCTTTTTTAACGATAAAATTGTTACTCTTAGAAACAAAATTAATGACCTCTTGCCTTTGACCAGTATAGTGTTATCAACAGCTCCCGGAAACGTAAGTTCTAATATTACACTAGATAGTAAACTAGAATGCTTTTCAGCCATAAACCTTGAACAATTAAATTCAATGATTCTCTCTTCTAAACCATCAACGTGCATGTTAGACCCAATTCCAACTAAGCTGTTGAAGGAAGTTTTTCCATTAATTAGCACTTATTTATTAAATATTATGAATATGTCTTTATTATCAGGCTATGTTCCACAATCATTCAAAGTAGCAGTGATAAAACCGCTTCTTAAAAAGCACAACCTCGATCCAGAGGTTTTAGCCAACTATAGACCTATTTCTAATCTTCCGTTCCTCTCAAAAATTCTTGAGAAAGCGGTCGCAAAACAGTTGTGTGATTACTTAAAAAACAATGATTTATTTGAAGCTTTTCAGTCTGGCTTTAGAACACATCATAGCACAGAGACAGCTCTGGTTAAAGTCACAAATGACATTCTAATAGCCTCTGACAAGGGACGTGTCTCTATTCTTGTTTTGCTCGATCTCAGTGCTGCATTTGATACTATCGACCATGATATCTTATTGCAAAGACTAGAGCACTTAGTTGGCATACAGGGAACTGCTTTAGACTGGTTTAGGTCCTATCTATCTGAACGCTCTCAGTTTGTACGTGTCAATGATGAATCTTCCACGCAAACCAAAGTTAGCCATGGAGTGCCACAGGGCTCAGTGCTCGGACCTATTTTGTTCACATTATATATGCTTCCGTTAGGCAATATTATAAGGAATCATTCTGTAAACTTTCATTGTTATGCGGATGATACTCAACTATATTTATCAATCAAGCCTGATGAAATTAATCATCTAAATAAAATTCAAGACTGCCTTAAGGACTTAAAAACGTGGATGACCTTAAACTTTTTGATGTTAAACACGACCAAAACTGAAGTTATTGTACTTGGCCCGAAGAATCTACGAAACAAATTATCTAAGGATATACTAACTATGGATGGCATTAATTTGGCCTCCAGTGAGACTGTAAGGAATCTTGGTGTTATATTTGATCAGGATTTATCCTTTAACGCCCACATAAAATCAATTTCAAGGACCGCCTACTTCCATCTACGTAACATTGCAAAAATCAGGCATATCTTGCCTCAAAACGATGCAGAGAAACTAGTCCATGCATTTGTTACTTCAAGGCTGGATTATTGTAACTCTTTATTATCAGGGTGTACCAAGAAGTCAGTCAAGTCGCTTCAGCTGATTCAAAATGCTGCGGCTCGTGTACTAACCAGAGTTAGGAAAAGGGACCACATTACTCCTGTTCTGGCTGCCTTACACTGGCTCCCTATAGAACACAGGATAGAATTTAAAATTCTTCTTCTCGCCTACAAAGCCCTTAATGGGCAGGCGCCATCTTACCTTAAAGAACTCATTATACCCTACTGTCCTACTAGGGCATTGCGTTCCAAGAATGCAGGGTTGTTGGTTGTTCCTAGAGTCTCTAAAAGTACAATGGGAGCCAGAGCCTTTTCTTATCAAGCTCCACATTTGTGGAATCAGCTTCCAGTTTGTGTTCGGGCGGCAGACACCCTATCCGTTTTTAAGAGTGCGCTTAAGACCTTCCTTTTTGATAAAGCTTATAGTTAGGGCTGATTAGATCCAGCCCCTAGTTTTGCTGATATAGGCTTAGTTTGTCGGGGGACATCTTACTTCTTCCTTCTCTCTGTCTATACCTGTGTACTCTCATGTTCCGATTAACCCAGCTTCCCCAAATGTCTTTCTTTTTGGTGTCTATATACGCCGGGATCCGGAGTCATGGATGATCCTGCGCTCCTCTGTCCTGGATCGCGAGCCCTGGATCTTGAGTCGTGGCTGTGGTCCTGGATCATAGGCCCTGGATGGATATCCTCGTGGATTCATCTTCCTATTATACACACATGCATTTCCAAACATTTGGACTACCTATGTTGCAAATGTATTATCTTTTCAATTTACACACGGCATCTATTGCACGTCTGTCCGTCCTGGGAGAGGGATCCCTCCTCTGTTGCTCTCCCTGAGGTTTCTCCCATTTTTCCCTTTAAACTGTGGGTTTTCTCCGGAAGTTTTTCCTTGTACGATGTGAGGGTCTAAGGACAGAAGGTGTCGTATTGTCATACTGATATTTTGTACAAACTGTAAAGTCCACTGAGACAAATGTAACATTTGTGATATTGGGCTATATAAATAAACATTGATTGATTGATTGATTGATCTACTCTTGTGCCATGTCCATCATTAAGGCATAATAGTGTTCTTTCCTCCAGCATTTCTTCCACTATATTTCCGTTACTGTCTGTATGGTTGCTGCCCCATAGACTGTTGTGTGCATTGAAATCACCACACCAAACTTCCTTCCAATGTTTATTGCCTGCTATTTCTTTAAATATATCAGTGGTTAGATTTGGACATGGGTTGTATAAATTGATTATCCTAATGTTATCTTGTTTTCTAGGAATGCAGATTTCCACTATAATACAGTCTCATCAGGAGATTGCACCTCCCTATATGCCACACTATCTTTGAGAAATGACTGCAGGATCTCAGGTATGCAAAGTAGGCGAAGTAGGCGAGAAAGGCTATTTTGAGTCTCAGAGACCAAGGTCCTGAACACTTTGCATACATTGACTGCACGACTTCAGGTCTGCGATGTGGACAGTCCACCTCAAATAAATCAATACACAACCTGTGGTATTTGAAAATAAGGGAATGACATGTTTATAATATGCTGAAAAACACAACAGATATGCAGGGTTGGGGGTCTGTTTCTAAGGCCATTTTATTTTTGGTAGTCTGATCATTTTAACAAGAGAATAGGATCAAACTGAAAACATCGTAAATGTGTTCTAGATACATGAATCATTGGTTCTTTTAGACCAGAACAGACTGCTAACTCAACAGGAACTATCAAAAACATCCCAATCAAAGTTTAGAGTCACAACATTTTATTAAACGAACAGATTATTGGAGAAACTACTCGGCAGATTAATGAACAATGAAACTCGCTCATGAACTTTAAGGTGAATACTTTAACCTGCTAAGCCCCGATCCTGTTTTTCAGATTTCAGGATCGAAAATGACATTCCCAGAACAAATGACCATATCTTCCGTTCTAAAAAGGGTTAAATTAATAATCTTTTTTCCTCAAAGTAATGATAAACCTGTGAGTTGGATGTAGAAAAGTCGGATTCAATATAGATATTTTTTTATTTTAAAGAAAATTCAGAATGAACATGGTAAAAAACTGTAAATTATAGTGTCCATCCAAACAATATTTTGTACTTATAGTGAAAACTAACCTTGGATGATGGGTTAGTAGACTAAAAGCTTTAGGAATCTGAAGTACAACATATACTAAGTACCCTGTATCAAGATTGATCCGAAACAAGTGATATTTGACCTTTTTAGACAGATTTAGCAAAAAACCTCTTCTGGGGCCATTTGGGTGGATTTTTAACATATCTGGCCCCCCTTGCTGGATTTTGACATGTGACATCTCTTTCTGACCGGTAAAGCCAATGGAATCGAGGGGAACTCACACATAGTCCTTATATGGTAATGTGTGTGTGTTAGACTGCCACATAGCCTAGACCGGAAGCAGCAGCCACTCTGGTGGCTACCATTAGCAGCTAACTTTTGATGTCCGATTTTTACATAAAAATGGAATTATGGATTATAAATGAAATCATTTTTTTATACAGAGACGTTAAAAACCTATGGATTAACCGATTCAGCCGCTTTTTTCTCTCGTTTTAATGCCATTGAACTCGTCTTTTGATCAGATTGACAGCTACGGTGAGACGATCTCCCTAGAAGCTCTGTAAAGGTACGTGTTGTGATGTCTGTGTTTGCTTCCCCTGTCGCGAATTCGGATCACTCAGTGATGATACTATATACCTAAATAATCTGTGGAACCTCAGCTTTAATCGGATATCTTGTATGTGCAGCTCCGATAACTAATAAGGGTACTTTTATCTTGAGTTCTGTGCCAATATCCGTTAGCATTTTTCGCTAAGGGGTCATTTAGATGTTTCTTATGAGACTTGTGTTTTGTTTTGGTAAAAATGGTTTGTATCATCAGTTAGCTGAGATTATTTCCGTTAATCTGGTATGACACATTAATAGGTTCTTAAATATTAAGATCCCCCGAGACAGTGTCGTGAAAAAAAAAAAATAGGGTCCCCGCCGGCAGGTTAAGAAAAAGTTTTCCCACACTTTTAACACCACTATGGTTTTAAGAGTGTGTGAACACGAAGATGTGATTTGAGATGAGTTGATGTAGTGAACGTTTTCCCACACTCTTCACACCAGTACGGTTTTTCTCCAGTGTGAATATGGTTATGTTTTTTGAGAGCACTTGATGTAGTGAAAGTTTTCCCACACTCCTCACAGCTGTACGGTTTTTCTCCAGTATGAATACGTTGATGTGATTTGAGAGCATCTGATGTAGTGAACGTTTTCCCACATTCTTCACACCAGTACGGTTTTTCTCCAGTGTGAATACGGTGATGTTTTTTTAGATTACTTGATGAAGTAAACGTTTTCCCACATTCTTCACACCAGTACGGTTTTTCTCCAGTGTGAATACGTTGATGTTTTTTGAGATTACTTGATGAAGTGAAAGTTGTCCCACACTCTTCACAGCTGTATGGTTTTTCTCCAGTGTGAATACGGTGATGTGATGTGAGAGCACCTGATGTAGTGAAAGTTGTCCCACACTCTTCACAGCTGTAAGGTTTTTCTCCAGTATGAATACGGTGATGTTTTTTGAGAGCACTTGATATAGTGAACGTTTTCCCACACTCTTCACAGCTGTACGGTTTTTCTCCAGTATGAATACGTTGATGTGATTTGAGAGCATCTGATGTAGTGAACGTTTTCTCACATTCTTCACACCAGTACGGTTTTTCTCCAGTATGAATACGGTGATGTTTTTTGAGATTACTTGATGTAGTAAAAGTTTTCCCACATTCTTCACACCAGTACGGTTTTTCTCCAGTGTGAATACGGTGATGTTTTTTGAGATTACTTGATGAGGTGAACGTTTTCCCACACTCTTCACAGCTGTACGGTTTTTCTCCAGTGTGAATACGTTGATGTGTTTTGAGATCACTTGATTTAGTAAACGTTTTCCCACACTCTTCACAGTTGTACGGTTTTTCTCCAGTGTGAATACGTTGATGTGATTTGAGAGCACCTGATTGAATGAAAGTTGTTCCACACTCTTCACACCAGTACGGTTTTTCTCCAGTATGAATACGGTGATGTGATGTGAGAGCACCTGATGTAGTGAAAGTTGTCCCACACTCTTCACAGCTGTAAGGTTTTTCTCCAGTATGAATACGGTGATGTGATGTGAGAGCACCTGATGTAGTGAAAGTTGTCCCACACTCTTCACAACTGTACGGTTTTTCTCCAGTATGAATACGTTGATGTGTTTTGAGAGCACTTGATGTAGTGAACGTTTTCCCACACTCTTCACAGCTGTACGGTTTTTCTCCAGTATGAATACGTTGATGTATTTTGAGAGCATCTGATGTAGTGAACGTTTTCCCACATTCTTCACACCAGTACGGTTTTTCTCCAGTGTGAATATGCAGGTGGCTCTTTAAATTTACAGATGTTGTGAAGGATTTGTCACATTGCTGACAGCTGTGACGTCTCTCTCTTCCTTTTGGTTTCTAGAACAGATGGACAGAGAAAGAGAGAAAGTCAATCTAAAAAGCATAAATACACAAGTTATCACAATAAAAACTCACTTAATATAAACCTTGAGTTAACAAAATACTACTTAACTGTGTTTATTATATTTGTATTATATTTGATACAGTAATACAGCTATATTCTAACCAAAGTATATACCAGAGGTGGGGGGGACTCGAGTCACATGACTTGTCTCAAGTCACATGACTTGACTCGCATATTTTTTGACTTGAGACTTGCTTGACTAACATTGATAAAAGACTCGACTTGACTTTGAATTCATGACTTGAGACTTGACTTAGGCTTGAGACAGATGACTCGAAAGGACTTTACTTTTTAAAATAAAAATATTTGCATTGTACTAATATTTCATTGCCCTAGAGGGCAATGAAAAAAAAAAAGAATCTGGTTCGCAGGAGAAAGTAGGAAGTGGAGCGCACAGGAGACAGCCGTTTCATTGCAGACTGTTATGTTTATGTGGGGAAATACATACATTATTTGAGATACATTTCAAACTCGGACTTCATTTTAGGGACATTTCGGCCAGGGGTGTAGAGTTATTTGTTCAAGCACCGGATGGGCAAAACAGGAGAGTCTGTGAATCAGTCTGCCTTGACCTATGTATTCATGTCTGTGACTCTCAGTATCTGCTGCCCACAGCTGTTTTATAGAAGAAAAACCTCCTTCACTTCATGAAATCTCTGCAGCATACACACACACTGAACTGCTCAATTATTCCCCGTTTTATGATTTCAGAGCCCCATTCTCCATTGTTGTTAATGTTGAAAATAAAACTCATAACCACTGTCTTTTAACTGATTTAAATGTGGAAACTGGGGTTATTCATCAGGATTTCGTAGGACTTGACTTGCTTGACTCTCACCCCAGTAACTTGAGACTTGCACATGTATGACTTACTCCCACCCCTGGTATACAGGAGACAGAGGGAGACGGCATCCTGTCACTGCAAGTCTCAGTTTGCTCCGTTCGTCTGGTTTCAGTTTTTTTGGTCTAATTATTGTCCAAACTTTGTTGTGTCTGTATGAAACGTCATTTTGAGAGACCATGCTTTTGATCCTGTGGATTACATTTGCCTTCTGCAGACCATGTCTGGCCATTCAACTTTCCAAGACACACCTGAGTGACAGCAGGAACAGGTATGGCGAGGAGCCCCGGCCTCTACGCTGCTACAGCCGCAAGGCTATGCTAGAGCTACAATGTGATCGGCTTCCTACGAATACACCAAGCCACCTGTGCTCTTCGATATTGGATGAAATCCCTCGGGAGCCGCTTAGAAACACCAGGAAAAAGAGATGAGGAACGAGGGGAGGCGTTCAGAATCGCCTACGGCGGAGATTCAGCTGGCCACCACTTCCATCCATCATTCTCACAAACCTGCGCTCATTCAGCAACAACGTGGACACACTAAGAACATACATAAGGTACAGTCATGAATTTCTTTAGGCCTCTTTATTATGTTTCACGGAAAGTTGGCTACAATCTACAAAGCCTGAATCTCTTTGAAGTACCCGGATTCACCCTTGTTCGAGCAGACAGTGATGCGAACTCGGGGAAAACCAGAGGAGGCGGTATTAGTGTGTATATTACATTACATTACATTGCATTTAGCTGACGCTTTTGTCCAAAGCGACTTACAATAAGTACATTCGACCAGGAAGACACAACCTTGAAGAAAACAGAATCATATAAGTATATCAGGTTTCATAGAGCCAAACATTTCAAGTGCTACTCAACTGGCTTTAGGTAATCCAGTCCTTTATTAGTATAAAAGTGCTTCGTTAATCGTTCTAACGCTCGAAGTGGAGTCGAAAGAGATGAGTTTTCAGTTTGCGCCGGAAGATGTGCAAGCTATCTGCCGTCCTGATGTCAATGGGGAGCTCATTCCACCATCTTGGAGCCAGGACAGCAAACCCACGTGTTTTCGCCGATGGGAACTTGGGTCCCCCTCGCAGCGAGGGCGCAACGAGTCGTTTGGCTGATGCAGAGCGTAGTGCACGCGCTGGGGTGTACGGTTTAACCATGTCCTGGATGTAGGAAGGGCCAGATCCATTCGCAGCACGGTAAGCAAGTACCAGTGTCTTGAAGTGGATTCTAGCAGTTACCGGAAGCCAGTGAAGGGAGCGAAGGAGCGGAGTGGTGTGGGAGAATTTAGGAAGGTTGAAAACCAGACGAGCCGCTGCATTCTGGATGAGCTGCAGAGGTCGGATGGCACATGCAGGTAGACCAGCCAGGAGGGAGTTGCAGTAGTCTAGGCGTGAGATGACGAGAGCCTGGACCAGAACCTGAGTCGCTTTCTGAGTCAGCTGGGGACGTATCTTCCTGATGTTGTAAAGCGTGTATCTGCAGCAGCGGGTTGTAGCAGCGATGTTTGCAGTGAAGGACAGGTTGTTATCTAGGGTCACACCCAGATTCCTTGCAGTCTGAGTCGGGGAAACAACTGAGGTGCCGATGTTGATTGTCAGGTCAAGAGTTGGACAATCTTTTCCCGGGAGGAAGAGCAGCTCAGTCTTGTCAAGGTTGAGCTTGAGGTGGTGAGCAGACATCCACTGAGAGATGTCAGCTAGACAAGCAGAGATGCGTGCGACGACCTGGGTCTCTGAGCGGGGAAAGGACAGAATTAATTGGGTGTCGTCAGCGTAGCAGTGGTATGAAAAACCATGCGGGCTAATGACTGATCCGAGCGAGTTTGTGTACAAGGAGAAGAGGAGGGGACCAAGAACAGAGCCCTGAGGGACCCCCGTAGTTAATTGACAAGGGTCGGACTCAGACCCTCTCCAAGTCACCCTGTAGGTACGGTCTTTCAGGTATGAGGTGAGGAGGGAAAGTGCAGAGCCTGAAACTCCAAGTTTTTGGAGAGTGCGAAGGAGGATCTGATGATTCACCGTGTCGAATGCAGCAGACAGGTCCAACAGGATGATGACAGAGGAGAGGGATGCAGTTTTGGCAGTGTGCAGTTCCTCCGTGACAGCAATGAGAGCAGTTTCTGTGGAGTGACCTGCCTTGAAACCAGACTGGTGCGGATCCAGAAGGTTGTTCTGATTGAGATAACAGGAGAGTTGTTTAAAGACAGCGCGTTCAAGTGATTTAGACAGGAACGGGAGGAGAGAGACAGGCCTGTAGTTTATAACATCAGACGGATTGAGAGTGGGTTTCTTTAGGAGAGGGTTTACTCTTGCCTCCTTGAGACTGTTTGGAAAGTGACCAGAAGTTAGAGAAGTGTTGATGAAATGGGTGAGAAACGGTAGAATATCAGGAGCGATAGTCTGAAGGAGGTTTGAAGGGATAGGGTCCAGAGGACAGGTGGTAGGGCGGGCAGAGGTAATGAGGGTAAGAACCTCACTTGGAGAGAGAGGGGAAAAGGAGGTTAGTGTGTTGGTGGAAGGAAGGTCTGGTGACCCAGCGGTGAGTAAAGGTGAGTCAGAAAAAGAAGAGCGAATATCATTAACCTTTTTTTCAAAGTGGGTAACAAAGTCGCTTGACAGAAGTGAGGAGGGGGGAGGAGCTTTTGGAGGGTCCAAGAGGGTGGAGAAGATGGAAAATAGTTTTTTAGGATTGGAATAGGAAGATTGGATCTTATCTTGAAAGAAAGTGCTTTTTGCCTGAGAGATCGAAGCAGAGAAAGAGGAGAGGAGAGCTTGATAGGTTAGGAGGTCGTCACGGTGTTTGGATTTCCACCATTTCCGCTCTGCTGCCCTAAGGACGGTTCTATTAGCACGCAGTGCATCATTTAGCCAGGGAGCCGGAGGGGACTGACGAGCCTGCCGAGATGTCAGAGGACAGAGCGAGTCCAGAGAGGATGAGAGAGTAGAGAGGAGAGTTTCTGCAGCAGAGTTTGGAGGCAGTAGTTGGAACGAATCAGAGGAAGGGAGGGCTGAGAGCACCGACGAGGCAAAGGTAGAGGGAGAGAGGGAGCGAAGGTTACGGCGGACAAGTGTAGGATGGGAAGAGATTAGTTTGTTATGTTTGGAAAGGGATAGAGAGAATGAAATGAAGAAGTGATCGGATGTGTGGAGCGGGTTTACAGAGAGGTTAGAAGTAGCGCAGTTCCTTGAGAATATGAGATCAAGGACATTGCCAGCTTTATGAGTCGGTGGGGACGGAGAGAGTGAGAAAGCAAAGGCGGTTAACAGAGATGTTAGTTCGTCTATCTTCCCCATCTGGAGGTTGAAGTCTCCGAGAAGTACAGCGGGAGGGCCAGTTTCAGGGATGTGTGAGAGGAGATGATCTAATTCCTCCAAGAAGTCCCCCAAGGCGCCTGGTGGACGGTAGAGAACAACAATGGTTAACTGTATAGGATGGGTTACTGTGACGGCATGGAACTCAAAGGTGGAAGGAGTAAAGTTAGGTAGCTTGAAGAGGGAAAAGCTCCATTTGGGAGAGAGCAGGAGACCAGTGCCACCTCCTCTGCCAGTGGGTCTGGGTGTATGGGAGAAGGAATATGCAGTGGAGAGAGCTGCTGGGGTGGATGTGTTGGATGGAGTAATCCAGGTCTCAGTGAGAGCAAGGAAATCCAGAGACTGCAGGGAGGTGTAGCCAGAGATGAAGTCAGCCTTAGGAACAGCTGACTGGCAGTTCCACAGGCCACCTGAAACTAGATGTTGGATCTCAGTGGAGCACGTGGGATAGACGAGAGCAGGCCGGTTATATCGATTACGAGATACACGGGGCCAGTGATAATTGCGAGAAGACACATGAACAGGAATGGAGAAAATACACATGATTATAGCATGAGGGGCTAAACAACAAAATTAAAAATTAAAAACACCAACGATACTTAGCTCAATCAAAGTAGGATTTGCCTCCTCTTTGCCTCCCTCGTGACTTCTGTAGGACTCTAATGTCTTTGTCAGTCTTACTCCTGTAGGACTCTAATGTCTTTGTCAGTCTTAGCCTGTCTGCCGCTGAAGCTTACGCTCCAGGAAAGAGCT